ATATATATATGTATATATATATATATATATATATATATATATACAATATATATATATATATAAATATTATATATATGCTTTTAGAGCAAATAACTGTTATCTTTCTTTCTTTTAGCGTTTTTTTTTTTTCGCGTTTTCTTGATTATAGTCAAACATATATCTAAACACAAAATAAATTACATAATCATGACATAGATTATAAGTAAAAATCTGTGGAATTAAGAAAAATAAGCATACATTGCGAGTCTTATTTCACTTTTTGTATAAGCTTATTCTTTCTTTTTAAATAGTTCTTAAAACAAGAAACACTTATCTTGTTTAAGAAATAAATTTCCTTTTCCTCAATTTGTTTCTTAAACAAGAAATATATTTCTTGTTTGAAGAAATAATTTTCCCATCCTGCATTTTATTTCTTAAAACAAGAAATATATTTATTAAACAATAAACACTAGATTAACAATACTGCTGTAAATCTTGAAGCAAGAAAAAAATTTCCTACACTGTAATTTATTTCTTAAAACAAGAAATATATTTCTTGTTTTAAGAAACAAATTATGGAAAAGGAAATTTATTTCTTAAACAAGATAAATATTTCTTGTTTTAAGAACTAAATGTCTTAAACTATGGGCTAAGATTTAGGATTTTGCTGTGAAGAAATGGTACTTGTGATACCTTTCATCAGTTAAAGATTTATTGTTCAAGATTCATTAGTTAAATCTTATGGATTACTTGGCATTAATTAGAAACTGTTTTAAATTATCTTTTTTCTTCTTAAATTTTTTTCATATAACTTTGTCAGAACTTCAATGAAAAAAAATATTTTTTTCTAAAAAGAAAATATACATTTTTATCTCTATTCTATCTAATTTTATATTTTTTCTGATAAAATATCTATAACACTAAAATATTAAATAAGAAATAAAATTAAGATGCAATTTCGAGATAACAAGTAAGACATTCCTAAATTTTATTTATATAAACAAACAAAGTTTTTACCCACACACATATAATATATGTATGGATAAACCATGTTTTTTTATTTAAATACATATATATATGTATATAATATATGTATATATATGTTTTTTTAGATAAATACTTAGATAAATTTTTTTATTAAAATTACTCTTTCTAATTAAAACAAACTTGTGAATACCATTGCAAAAATAATTGGAGAAAACGTTCCAATAATCTTCAACTGTAACAAAAAATGAAAACTCGAAGTCCCAATTAATATTAAATAAATAAGACTGAAAACCATCAATGTCGGCATTTAAAAAAATTCGAGTGAGTTTAAAAAAGTAAAACTCACATATAAACAACATTTGATGCGAAGTAGCGTTCGATGTTCAAATGGAAACTGCAGCATCAGAGATCAAACTCATACTTTAAAAGCTTTAGATTCTTTTTTTCTTTTGCTCACAAGAAAATATGATTTGTTGATAAGAAAACCAACAAATTGTGACCACGATTATGCAGATATTCCAAAATGCAGCATTAAAAAAAGCATTAATCTCATATTGTCAGATACGTAGCTAAAATGACATTAAAAAAAGTTATCTGTATTAAATATATGTGTATATATACATATATATATATATATATATATATATATATATATATATATATATATATATATATATATATATATATATATATATATATATATATATATATATATATATATATATATATATATATATATATATATATATATATATATATATCGAAGTCGTAGAAGGATTCAATATTTTTATTTGATTGATCGAGATCATTTATATTAATAGAGAAGTGGACAGTGTTATGGTCACTGGTGCTGAAAGGACATTCAACTGAAATAAGACTAAGAAATGAGATTTTATTTGAAAATACAAGATCAAGAATATTGTTTTCACGAGTAGGTTCCTGTACAATTTGGTGCAAACTGAGATTGTTGACTAAATTTAAAAAAAGGATATGGCACTTTTTGTTTGGTGATACGTAATTAAGCCAGTCCATTTTAGGAGAATTGAAGTCACCGACAATAACAAATTGAGACAGAGTGGCATAGATTATATATAAATGCAGTCATAAGTTCGATATAAACCACATCGGCAATGGAGTAAAAAGGTGGACGATAGCATGTGATTAAACGGAGATTATGCGAACTAAAAATTAAGTCTATAAAGACGATGTCAATATCCGTGTCCGTTTGAATTGTTTGTACTTGTTCCGATTTAATTTCATTTCTACAACATATAGTTACTCCCTCCAATTTTAATGCGATCTTTACGATAGATTGAGTAATCTTTTGGACAAACAATAGAGTAAGATGTTTACTGGTGAAAAATGTTTTGCAAACGCAAATAATGACAGGTTTATTTGCCTCCGTAAACATAAAAAATTCGTGCTGCTTATTTGCAAGGCTTCTAGCATTTAAAAGATATACAGAATTTTATGAATAAGGATTCTAACAGCACCCATTATTACTATTGCAGCCATTATTGCTATTGTCGTTTATTAAATTTAAATTGGTTAGCTTATTGCGACATTTTTTTGTACAAATTATTTTGTCTGGTTTACTCGACTTAGATATGAGATATTTACAACTAATACGGGACGAGTTTGCATGTTCTGTTGCACAATGACTCACATGACTTAATTTCCTGTTGTTCAAAAGTAATTGCTATTTTGCGATTTTGACGACTCTGTCGTTTCTAATACCATATAAATATAGTAAAGATTCTGAATTTTCTAAATTATTTTTTTTACATTCATCTCGTAACAACTTTGCTTTATATCTTTCTGCCTCGGTTAAATCAGGGTTAATATAAACGTTTTTAAACTGACTCGAATTTTTCAATAATTTTGCACCTTTTAAAATTGAATTGCGATCGATCTTATTATTTAAAACAATAACAAAAGGTGGTTGGTTATCTATTTTCGATTAAAGCTTTATAATCTGCTTAACTTCGATTTTCAGATTAATTGAATTCAAAACTTCTTGGATTGAACTTTTTTTTCCTCCTTAATTGCACTTGATTTATCGATTGCTTTCGATGAATTAATGCCAAATATTATGACATTATTTTCACGTTTTTCTTTTTCCTTTTTTTTGGCTGAAACAACATTTATTAGGTTTAGTTGCTCTACCGTTTTTTCACTAGGGGGTTTTCCACTTACAACACTTGCCCATGATAATAAAGGTGATGATTTGACAGATTCCGCATTTTCGAACATTTTTACTCTTTCTGATAACATTAAGTTTGAATTTTTTAGTTTCTTGATGGTCCTATTTAATGCTTTTAATAGTTTTTCTTGCTCTGCTTTGAATACATTAATTTCTGTTGACTGAACATTCACCATTGTTGGTATGATATGCAAATATACTTTTTTCACGAAAGGTTACAAAGTATAGTTAACTTCCCAGTGGGCACACGACGTTATTTCGACGTTGATTTACAGTTGATTTTTAGTCGCGACGTCGTATAACCAAAAATCAACGTTGTATTAACGTTGAAAAATTTGTTTAAAACTATCAAATAACATCGACGTTGATTCCACGTTAATTCAACGTCTATATTACGAGTTCGACCGTTCGTGATTGCAATATGAGAACTAAGATACGCATGCGTGACTTAAAATTTTTTTTATTAGCATAACAAATAACAAGTAAAGACTTAAAAAGTTACTTATTAGCCCAATAAAAACAAGTAAAGTTACACATGCTAATAAATTAGGCCATCTGTTGCCTTTTTATAAGGTTTTGAATTTGACAATTTAACAATAATGCATGGCTTAACTTGTGATGCAGTTAGTTAGTTAAATATTAAATGGATATTTCTTTATGACCGTATTATTTCATGAGTGTAAATTACAAGAAGAGATTACTTGATATATTATATAAATATAAAGTATTAATTATATATTTTTTTCTTATTTATATGATATATATATATATATATATATATATATATATATATATATATATATATATATATATAGATATATATATATATATATATATATATATACAAATATATATACATATATATATATATATATATATATATAGTGTATATATTTATATTATGTATATACATATATAGTGTATGTTATTTTTATATATATATATAGTTTATATATTATGTATATACATATATAGTGTATGTATATATTATATATGCATATTACATATATATGTATATATATATATATATATATATATATATATACATATATATGTAATATGCATATATGCATATTACATATATATGTGTATATATATATATATATATATATATATATATATATATATATATATATATATATATATGTATATATATATATATATATATATATATATATATATATATATATATATATATATATATGTATGTATATATATATATATATATATATATAGGGAAGAGTTGCCTTAGATGGAACAGTTAAGGAACAATTATTTATTAACCTAAGATGGCTTTTTACTAACTAATGGAAAGTTTTATTGTGTTGAATTTGTGTATGAAAATGGATGATGTTTTACAAAATAATGATTTATCAAGCTTTTTTACCAATCCATGTGATTTAAAGAGTTTGAATATTTTTTATATTAAAAATTTTTATTAAATTTTTAAAGATTTTTCTTGTAAAGTTGTATAAAAAAGAATTTGTGCTTGCTCCTTTAGTCCATGATATTGGATGGTAGAAGGATCAACATAAAAATTAAGCAAATTTTAGCAACTGTATAATGTATCATAACGCACAATTTAAAGTTGTATTTTTCTGTTAGCTATTTTACATGAACAAATTTTTAATATGTGAGTATTTTTTCTATTATATTTTCTACTATACTTTTCCAATTGAAAAAGTATATTAGGGCAAGCAAAATGTTCATTCGAGCTGTTTGGATAGAAAATACAGAGAAATAAAGAAAAAAAATTCGATTGATATTTTTTTGTGCTGGCCATCTTCATTAAATGTAATAAATTGTTTCAATGAAATGCATAAACCGCATCTAACTAATACAGATTTACGCTGCTCAAAATTAAATGTCATGGAGATAATGTAATTTTTTTTTATTTAAACCTTTAAGTAATTACTTTTTTTCCTTGTTTTTTTAACATGCTTTCATTCTGTATATGTTGTTTTCAGTGTTTAGATATATTCTTTATTATATATTCTTTATTATATAATGTATTTAAAACATTTTTAAATTGAATGAATATTCTTAGATCATGAGTTATGTGATAAATTTGAATTTGCCACTACTAGTGATACTCAGATAGAATGAGATTCAGAAAACGGTAACTATTTTAAAAGATACTTAATTCAAGTATTATTAGTTTTATTTTGATATTAATTTTTATAGGAGCCGCTACCATGCTTATGCAAGAGAAAACATAATAACCAACTGAATAGTCAGCAAGTACCTACTCCTGTAACTCAAAAAAAAGAAACAGAAAACATTTTTTATGCATACTCCACATACTGTAGCTCAAGGTATTAAATGTCTGTCTGCAAGTTGATTTAGGAAGAAAAGATTCTGAACATTTTTTTCTATGCTTCAGTGATTTACACATTTTATTGGTTGCTAAATTAATACATTTTATTTAATTTATGAACAATGTTTTATTTTATAAATGTTTTGTTCTTGTGTTTCAACGCTTTTAGAAATTAATTAATGTTTGGTTCTTTTGTCTTTCTGATATATCTTTATTGTTAGAAAGAGATGTTAGTAAAAACTCTTTCCAGTAATTAAAGTAATATCATGAAAAATAGTTCTGAAATTCTATGGATGAACTTGCAGCAGTAATTTAATGATTATGATAACAGTTTAAATGATTCTTGGGTGAGGTCAGAAGTGATGGGTTGTTTCAAACCATGCTTTTTTGCAGTTTTTTTTTATTGTTTTTTGAAAAAGTATTTATTAATAACTTAGCCTAAGTTAATCTACTTGTACTTTTTTATAAATGTACTATAAAAATAATGTGGTGTAATTATTTTCTTAAACCTTTAGGTTAACAAACTTTCTAAAATTGGAGGTAAAACCATTAAGACAAATACAAAAAAATGTGATGCTAAGGTTTGTTAAAAGTAGTTTTAAATAAAAAATCTTTTGAATCTTTTTATTATAGTTTGTTTTAAACTTGTGTTAAAAATATGTGTAGCATATGTTTTTAAAAGTTTGGCGAGACATAAAATAAATCTTTTTTTTTTTGTAACTGTTTTCTCTAACTTTTGTATTTCCTTGAGCTAAAGAACAACCTTAAAGTACAAAGGTTGGTTTGTAACGCATACTTAACCTTTATTATTACTCGATATATACATACATATATATGTACATAAATAAAACATACATATATATGTATGTATATATATACATACATATGCTTATATGAATATATTATATATATACATTATATATATATATATATATATATATATATATATATATATATATATATATATATATATATATATATATATATATATATATATATATATATATGTATATATTTGCAATAACTGCTTCATTGCATTGTGGCATGCTTGCAATTTATTTTTTATAGTTTCTGTCATCTCTGGGTTATTATGCCAGATCTTGATAATCTCCATGAGATCTTGCTTATTAGTAAGATTTTTTTTTCCAATCTCTTGCTTTACTATTTCCCAAATGTTTTCTATGGGGTTAAGATCATGCGAGTTGTCTGCTGTAGCAATACATCAACTAAGCCATAACAGTTTTTATTGTGTGGCAAGTTGCTCCATCTTGCATAAATATAAGATTTTTGACATTATTTTTAATATTTTTAAATTTTTTGTCAATTTTTGACTTTTTTGGCTGGACATCAATCCCTCTTCTTTTAGCCTTCTACAAATGGTCCGGTCTGACACAACAATTACAGCTTCATGGATAAGCTTAGTAGCTTTTTTTCTGTTTTCCAGACAGATATTTCTGATTATACTGTCCGCTCTTGGTGTTTTCTTGCATTTAGAAGGTGGTCTCCTTGGACCAAACTCATCCCCTGTATCAGGGGATGAGTTTGGTCTAAGGAGACCACCTTCTGTTCTGTTGGAGTTTGGTCCTATTCTATTTCTTACTTGCATTACGGTTTGGTAAAAAACCTTTGCGGTTTGTGCAATTTTTCATTGAGAATAATTTGTATTTTGTAAAAAACATGTTTATCAATTTTTAATGTAACTATAATAATAATAACAATGTATAAAGCACGTTGTTAACCAATGGTTTATAATCAAAATTTAATATGGCTGGCGGTAAAGGTAAAGAGAAGTTTAAAGGAACAAACATTAGTTATTTACTTGTAAGTTAAGTGTAAAATTATATATTTTTTAAAAATCACAGTTCGTTTTTTTAATGCTATTTTATTTTCAACTTTTTGATGTATTTGATGCAAATTACTCAGTCAATACCTTTTTTATAGAGAGAGTTTTGTCAATTAAAGCGATTGCTACAGTTGCCGGAATAAGAAAAGGAATAATGACTTAATTAAAATACGCACTCGACAGATCAAATGGTGGTGGTCGGCGCGTAAAAGGCGATTCACCCGATGTATAACATTCATACTTTTTCCTTGTTGTTCTGGAACAATCGATAATAGTTATTATTGATAAATTGATAAATATATTACTGATAAATAAAACTTTTTTTTCAAACATTTTATTTTATTTGCATTGTATATAAAGTCCGTTGAATCTATTTAGTTGTATCTGATTAATTTACGTGAAATATAATATCCTCTGCGCAAATTATTGCTTTTTTATTGTGTTATTTTATTGCAATTAAAGTTGAGATAATTTTTTAGTTAATTGGATTTAACCAAAATAAAAAACAAAAATCAACGTTGAATTTACGTTGTTTCAACGTTGTTCTAACGTCTTATCAACTACGTATCAATCGAATATATCACCTATTCATAGTTGAAATATGGTTGGTATGTAGTCGATAAGACGTTAGATCAACGTTGAAACGACGTATTCATCGACGTTGTTTCAACTTCGTAGTTTTCGACGTCGGATTTTATTTCCAATTCAACCAAATTTCAACGTTGTTTCAACGTGGCATATGGTCGGTTTGCGACGTTGTTTCAACGTTATTTCAACGTCATTGTGCCTGCTGGAGTCTTTTTACGATGTTGGACTGCTAGAAATAAGATTTACGTTTAAAATCTTTTAGTGAACTGATCAAATTTTTTCTAAAAACAATCAGAAACAATGAAGAAAAATAATAGCAGATGTATTTATTTTATATAGAATTTTACTATTCTGCATGACTATCCTGCATGAATATTATAAACAAATAAATTTAATAATGTATTCTAATTATAGTTGTAATTTCTGGGTGTAATCTTTATAAATTTGTTTTTAAATTTTTTTAATAATGTTTACTTGTAGATAACCTAAATATTTTATTTATAAAGTTATTGTAAATAAATGTTAATAAAAATGTAAGTTGTTATAAAAAGTTTTTAAAACGATGAGAAATTCATCGGTCTTATAATAAGGAAACACTAGTGCTTAAGTAGTGCAATTTTAAAATTTACTGTTTTTTAGCTAGATATTTTAACATGTGAACTTTTTCCCTGGCTTTGAAATGATTCATTTTATATATAACATGTTATGTGAGTGCACTTCCATAATCTTAAAATCACACAAAATTGAACTAAGAGTGCACAAAACTTTTGTCAATAATCCTACTGAATATAGTCTCGTTCTAAACAATCCAGGGACCAAATAAAGCTCATGTAATTTTAAAATTAAAAATAACAAAACAGTTTATATTAAAATGCATGGTGAACTTTCTTCGCCCTGCAGGTGAAACTTCAGAATTTATTTTTGGAGATAAATGTGTACATAAAAATAACTTTAACTCGTCCTATGAAGCAAACATACTTTGCAAGCTGTTACACCTAATGGATTTTATTTTGTCACCCAACAATTTTGAGCTATAGATTTTAGATCTGCAAGCAAGCAACAAAAGCTTGAAAATACAGGTAATGGTAACTAAATTACTATTACTCGGACATCTGAAACCGATTCAGTAGCCGTTCTCGTATACCTTGTCATGGACGCTGTCGCTCAGTTCAAGCAAAGACTTTTCCGTAATGTCGCTTTCTAAATGTGCAAAGAAAAAGTATAAAATGAGTGTGGCTTAAAAAATTTTCCGGACCTGTAAAAAAGCAGGAGTAAAAAAAACAAAAAGTAAAAAAAGGCTTAAAACACACGTTACAAATTGAAACCCTTATTCAAAAATTGTCGCTTTAGAACCCAAGGGATTAATTTTTACAAATAAAGGGATGCCCTTTATTTGTAAAAATTTTTTTCCAACTGTAAAAAAACTGCACGTAAAAAGTTAAAAAAGTTGAAAAATGGCTTAAAGATACAAAATATAAAAATTAACATTTTTTTTAAATCGTTGCTTAAAACCCGGGGGAATTGTTCCTTGACGGCGGGGTTTGGTTTGGGTATGGTTTTCAACAATATTTATTTTAAGACTTTTTTACGGACTTACTAAGGGTGGAGGGAAGGAATTTGGTGCCTAAAATACACGTCCACTGGTATAGCAGCCAACCACTTTTTTCTTTCTTCTGGTTTCGAGGAAGACAAAGAGAACTTCATCATAATTTACGTTGTGTTTTGTGACAGTGTTTACCGCACATGTTTGTTACGAAGTTATTTAAAAATTTAAATCTAAATAGTTTAGCGCTTCGACTTTATGTTACAGAATATAGGAAATACAAAATGTTTGCCTCCAGTTTTGTATTTCCAACTTCCTCCACTCTTTCCCTTATTTTAGCTATTTTCTACCACTATGGTTTCTAAGACCTGATTTTATTAAATTAAAATTATTAACTTTTATTAAAACACAAATTAATGATTTTTATTTATCATAATTTATATTTATATATAAAGCATTTTTTTTAATAAATTTTATATGATTAAAATGTAATATTGATAAATAGTTATATTCTATACATTTTGTTATTAAATATCAATCAATCAATATATATATATATATATATATATATATATATATATATATATATATATATATATATATATATATATATATATATATATATATATATATATATATATATATATGTATATATATATATATATATTATATATATATATATATATATATATATATATATATTTCTGAAATATTTGGTCTTACATTTCAAGGTTGTTTACATATAGTAAATACTACTAATTTCACGTAAACACCTAATGATAACGATTAAAATAGTAATAATAATAAAGATATTTATAATAATAATAATAATAAATAATAATAATAATAACATTTTATTTTAACAATAATAATAATAATATACTAATTAAAATAATTTAAATAAATCAGTAAAATTTTCCATACAACAATCGTTATTACATACAAAGTTACAGTTACAAACAGTAATTAACTGACAAAACGTAACAACTAACGATGACATAAAAACAACCACTGCTAAAAAAAATTATACAGATTTATTAAATATATTTTTCTTATAATATAATAACCGAAATATATTGCAAATAATATGACAAAGCAAATAAATAGAATGCAAAAAAGAAAAATACTGAGAAAGTCAAAGCAAAACAAAAGTTACAACAAACATTACCAGCAAAACAAAAATTTACGTTAAGTTCATTTGGCAATAAAAACAAAAAACAACATCAACAACTACAAGAAAAGATCAACATAAATTAATATAAAACAATGTAAAAATATTATAACCTTCTATTTGCGTTTTATCAACGTGAAGTTATAAGTTTTCAAAAAACCGTTTTTGCAGTTTATTTTTTTACATAACAAACATTTTTTTAAATAACAAAATTTTTTTGTTATGTACCAAAAGTTTACGGTTTAAAAAAATCATAGCTAAATGGTATGCAACATTGCATTGCAAAAAATTGTATTGAAGTATATAGTGGGCTAAAGCCATTATGTAAAGTATTAGATTTCAGATTTCTGTGGTTTTAAATTTGTTTACTGTAACAAAACCATTGAGAATCTCCACATCTCCGGTTAAAGTATTTAAATATTACTATTAATTATCGCTATGATTAAAGTAAAGTTCATCTAAGTTTTTATTATTAAACAAAAAATGATGTCTTTAAACTATTCTTTTAAAATATGCTCCTTGGATTCCTTTATGTTTTTAACATTTAATGATCTATAAAATTGCACAAGTTGAGGAGAATAATTATTCCATAAGATCGGATCATCTTTTGAATTCAAACAGAGTGGTATAACAGTTGTCAAAAACAAATCAGAATGACTTGCAGAACTAATAAATTTGTCTTTATAGATTGAAGAACAGGCGCTGCCATCAAAACCTTAGCAAAACGTTATTTCTGCACTAATTTCATTAGATTTAAGTGATTACAAGTGGTGAAAAATCACTTCTTCTTTTAATTGTACAATGCGTCTTATTGTATGTTTTAATAAACGTTTCTCAGAGCTATTATAAATTTCCAAATCTCTTTGTAATCTGGATACAAAGAGATTTGGAAGTTTATAATAGCTCTGAGAATTTATAAATAGAAAATTTGGAAATTTATAATAGCTCTGAGATTTATAAATAAAAAATTTTATAATAGTTTTTTGTCTATTATTTTGATATTGTTGAATTTTAAATCTATGTAAAGAACTTTTTTTGTAAAATTTTTTTTTTTTTTTTTTTGTAATATTATTATTACAAAAAAAAAAAAAGTTCAATTTTTTCAAAAACAACGCTAAATTGCGTTTCTCTTGCTAACATAATTGCTGCTCGCAATATTAGAGATGTTTTTTCAGAGTTATTCTGACATAATTCTGAATCTTCAAATCTTTTTGCTCGATCCAATTTTTTAGTGTATAATAAACAGCCTGGATGTAGCTAAACCTCTACGAAAACACCCAAAAAAAAACTTTTTATGCCATTATTAAACATATTAACCCTTTAGAGCCCCGTGTAGCAGATCTGCTACAAACTTTTTATTAGCCTGGGATTTGAGTATGGCTTATCTATTCATGTCAAAAATGCCCATTGTGGCATATTTGCGACTTGCTTACGTTACGTAATTAATTTGAATTTTATTAGTTTGTGTTATCAAGGCAAATACCAACACTCAAATCTTACTTTTAAAAAATTGCGGTATTGCCTGTAATGTGGCTCCAAATTACTTTCTTTTATATAATTGTATGAGAGTTAAGATATAAAATGAATGTTTCTTTTAATATAAAAAAGGTTAAAAAAGGTTTTGGAAGTGTTTACTTTAGTTTTTATAGTTTTAAATGAATAAAATATCTTGCTTATGTTGCAGATATGCTACAATAGGTTATTTTATGCATAACAACTTTTTTTTTAACTTATAATTATTTTTAGATGTATAAAAACAAAAATTATAATATAGAAGAGGCTCTTGCTTATATTCTTGATGGGGATAGTGACTTTGAAGACTTAAATGACTCAGATTCGGATTATGAGCCTGAAAATATCAAAAAGGCAGTTGATAATGTTGATTTTTGTAATGTAGGACCTTTACAGCAACATAATGTTAATTGTGAAGAAGAGAACATCATTCATGGTAATAGTGATAGTAGTGATGATGGTGACCAATTTTTGTCTAATATGGTAAATAAGAACAAACCAGTAAAACAACTTTGGAAAAAAGTTGACTTACATGTCGATGATACAGAATTTCGGGAGGTATTACCACAACCCACACCTAATGACAGGACTACTCCTTACCAGTACTTCAAAATGTCTGTCGCGGATGAGCTTCTTAAAACAGAGCTTCTTTGAACAGTCACAGAGCAAAGCAATTTATACAGCACTTAATGTACTGGTTCAAGTATTAACCCTTTAGAACCCACCCAAGCTTAACTTTAAAAAAAAATTATTATTAACTGTGTAAATATTTGTTTTGGGTTGCAAAATACAAAAACAAAACTTTTTTTGAAAATTTTTTTTGGCAATGAACTTTTTTAAATTGTATCGTATCTGCTACAATGGGCTTTTAAGGGTAAAAGAAGTTTTGAAATGTTTTTATTTCTTAATTGGTAGTGCCAGTACTTATACATGAAAATCCTTGAAACAGTTTCGTTCTCTTTGCATACAAAGCCATACGTTACATTTTTGGCATTGAATGTATGAAAACCCAGCAGGGCATTTTTTACATCGCTGTCTTTTCTTAGTGTATGCTGGTAGATGGTTTACTCCATCCTGTCTTACATCTTGCGTTGGGTTGCCTTGGACTACAGATCTTTTAGCCTTTGGTGATATCATAGTTTCAAGAGATGGTCTGCCAAACTTACATTTCTCTGCCTTTATTAAACTTGTTGCCACCTCTGCTTGAAACTTTTTTATGGGCATATGCTTTGCTTTTGGTTTTATTAATTTCAAATCTCTACGGTATAGAAACCATGCATTTACAAGTGAAATCACTATTGTATGCGCCCAAGTGTATATATACCAACAATGATACTTAAGGTTAGCTTTGTAAAACGAGCACATCATATCAAGCTGATCAATTCCACCCATATACTTGTTGTATGTTTTAATAATATAGGGTTGATGAACATATATATACTTTTTATTCTTTCCGTCGTATCGTTTAACAGTTTAACTGGTTCGATTCCAACATATGATGATACCAGAGTGACAGCTTTATTGTCATACCATCGCACCAAAATTAAATTAAAATATGTGTCAGTTCGATAATCATAGCTTCCACGGCCTTCTTTACGTAAATCTTTTTCACATAGTAACGGACACATGTTCAAACGGTTTGTACGAATGGCGCCTACAAACCAAATTGCTCGCTCTTTGAGTACATCCAACAGAGTTAGCGATGTGAAAAAGTTATCTGCAAATACTTTAAAGTTATGACCAGATGGTAAACTGGATAACATATTGAGGACTACAGATGCACCAACTCCATAGGTTGATGCTTTACTCGATTCCATTTCTTTACCCTGGTAAACATCAAAATCATAAAGAAATCCACTAAATCCACTTCTACCCCAAAGTTTAAATCCCCATTTGGTTGGTTTTTTTAGCAGATATTGTTTTATTAAAGACCTTTCTTTAAAAGCAATCATGATTTCATCCACACTATGAAATTCTTCTGGTGATACCTTCAAAAAATTTTCTTTTAGTCCTGTTATCCAAGGGTGCAACTTTCAAATACGATCACTATCCTTAGTTTCCTGTGTTATAATTATATTATCAACAAAATGAAAATTACGCAAGATAGTCCAGAAACGATTTCGTGACAAAACAGAGCTCGCTCCATTGTAGCTCAAATATGTTTCCAATACGATCTAATGGATGGCATTTAAATAAACCCCATCCTTAAATAGATACCAATAAATTTTTCAAGCTCTTTTGGTGTTACATTAAACATTCGTAAAAATAAAAAAAGCCTTAAAAACAGAAAAAAAAATTGTTTTCTAGTCTGGAGAGTTCAATGTAAAATATTACACCTATTTTATTTCAATTTTTATTTTATATTTTTTAGAATTTCATTTCCTTTAAGTTATTGTTTAAGGCCTGAGTCTCAATAACATCCTCTTTTGTAGCCTTAAATGGTGAAAAATGCGCCATCATTTAATAATTTTATTTTATATAATTGTTTAAAATAATACATTATTTAAACATTTAATCAAATATGTAAATTATTGTTTATTTAGTAAATAACTAAAAAATCTAACATTTGTGAGCTAACAATGTCTCCAAGATCATACGATGAAAACAGTACACATGTTTGAACTGTTCGTTTTTGCACAAGAGAAAAAAAGTAAGCAGACAAGTTATAACTACACAAGATATTGAACTTAAAGCTCATTTGATGTCAAGCTATTTTTACTGTAAAATCCTAGGGCTTTATATTGACTGCTGATTTGACTTTAACTAGATAACAAATGGAGATTTTTTAGTCAACCTAACAATAAAAATGAACTATGATTCATAGCTTAATACTATAACAGGGTATTTATAAGTAAAACTGTAATTTTCTATTTTTTTATATTTAGCTAGTAAATTTTAAGAGAAAATTTCTATAACTTCAATAACTTCCAATGACTTGCGTTGGGGTCTAAAAATTTTTTGAACTTTTCTCAACTTTTATGTTTTTTATATGTATGTTTAATTTGTATCGTGTGAAGGAGAATTATTTTTAATATAATCTTATAATTAATTGTATAAGTAAAATCTTAAATTAAATTGGTAAAATAAGAAACTCAAACAAAAAAGGCATAAATTTAAAAAAAAAAACCTAAAACATTATGGAAGTCAAAGTTAACAACGCAAATTCCTTGTCTCTCTCTTCTCCCATTATCTATAGATTTGTTTAATTAGTAAAATGATATAGACTATTTTAATGAAAAATAAACTTCAACATCTTTCTGTTTTTATTAGGAGTATGGAAAGATGTGGGTGCGAAATTTGTAAAATTGCGAGCTTGAATTGTCTTCAATAACCAGAAGTAATAAAATAAATAACAAATCAAGACTGTTTCTCGCACGCCTCTGCTCACACTGCTTTGCCAGTATCTACAGGGGATCAAATATAAATATAAAAAACAATTGGCAAAGTTTGTTAACGTTACAAAACTAAGTGATTCCAAACTGGCTGAACAGATAAAAACAAAGAAATGTTGAAAAAAATTATGAAAACAAAGAAAAGTTAAGAAAATTCAGTCATTTTTATTTAGTCCGCTAACGTTGGAAAACCTTTGATACTATTTCCGAAAGAAAGCAAAGAAATAACAGTAGAATGATTTCTGACTGCAGACAATGTCTCAATTTTACGACAAGAATCTAGGCTGACATATCTTTGAATAATTTCAGTTCAGAGAAACTTGAGACTAAAATGGAAATGGAAATGAACTGTTCCTCACATAATAGAGGCTATGAGGAATCACAAAGGTATTTTTAGAAAGTTCTTTGCTCATTTGGAATATATGATACCCCTAAGTTTCATTTCGCTTATATTAGACAGCTCATCTACATAACAAAAAGTAGTTCTCAAAATAGGTGTTTAAAAATACTCAGCATTCGTGGAGGTTTGAGAGAAGTTCTTAATAAAAGGTAACGCTTCACCTTGATATTACTTGGTAATACACTATGTTTGTAAACATACTAACACACAAGGTATCACTTAAAGATGTCGCTTAAAAAAAAATGTTATACTCAAAATATGTCATAGTATTTATTATTTACGTTCCATCAAAGGTAGCGTAGCGAGGGAGGAAGAAGGGCTTTATATCTGTTTTAATTTAAGTTAAATCAGGGTGTTTTAACAATTTTAATAATGCTCTTACGAGTTAAAATTAATCTAAAAATAAGCAAAGTTAGACATTTACACAACTAAAAAAGATATGAATATTCAAAAAATATCCGTTTGGCAAATGATTTATTTTGTGCGACTGTTCGAATTATTCATATTGGGGCACTAGAAAAAAACACTTAGGAAATACGTCAAAAAAGTTATTTTACGTATTCATATAAATAATATTCGAAAATTTCGATTTAATTTGCTTAAAACTTATGGGTTATTTGTTAATAACTCATAAGTTCTAAACTTTTTAAAAAATAATTTCTTTTTCAAAAATATTATTCAGGTCATTCCATTTAAAAAACATGTTGATAACATACATTTACAGTTTTGGGAAGAAGAATATGCAAAAAGTTTTTAGATCTACAACAACATAATAAACAACATAATAATATTCAATACGTAATGGAAACTGCTGATTAACATTAAACTATCTTGGCATTTCAATTACTAACGGTAAAAACTGTGAAAATGTAATAGACAGATTCCGAATTCCAATGATGTAATGTTACGGCTACCTGAAATCGAGGCGAACCATGACAAAAATTTAAGAAGTTAAAAAAACATTTTGCTATCAAAATTTAAAAGAAGATGTCAACTGTTACTTTAAATGATATTTTAAATACTGAAGAAGCTATTCCTCTAATTTTGTCAGAAGACTTACCTGAAAGTGGTTGTTTAGAAGAAAGTAATGTTTTTATACCATATAAAGTTATAAAAATAAATCAAAAGTGTCTGTTACATAACAAATGAGGCAAAAGCTTGAAAGAAATGCTCTTATTTACCATAAAGGAAGTTCAAAATTATCGTAAGTTAAGCGGTAAATCAAAGGGACTATCAGTTAAAAAACACTTTTGAGAGGTAGAAAATTCCAAGAGGAACGCTATATTTCATCAGACACAATATTTACATATTCTGCAAAAAATGTATTTCAAGCTAAAGGATTGTGTGAAGCGGAGTGGATATTGTAACCATGTAATGGCTTTGTTGTTAGAATTAACTGATTACTCTAAAATTTCTTAAAAAAGTCCTAACTGAAATTTCTTGTACAAGTAAACAACGACAATGGGGCATACCTGATAAAAAAAAATATAAGTGAAGCTCCTATAATGAGTTCAACTGTTAAGAAAGTAAATAATAAGCGTGGTATTTACTCTACATTGTATGACCCTAGACTTTTTTTTTATGAACATCACATAAACTTAAAAGTGTTAGAGTTGCAAAAAAAACTTATTGCTGTTGACTACAAAAATGGGTTTGCCCATGTTGTGCCACCCATTCAAATTCACGAAAAAAAATACAAATATGTAAATACAAGGTTTGGTCATTTTCCAACAGGCTTTTCTCTTAGCATGCATTTGCAAGTTGTTGAAAGACACTTTAAAATAATATAAAATATACAAAAATTAGCTAAAGATGAATCTGGTATTCAAGAACCAGAAATTTAATTTGAGTATTTACCCTTAAAAGAAGTAAATAATGACTATAATAACATCATTCCAAATTGTATTTTGAAAAGAAAAACTATTTAGAAAAAAAAAAAGTTACATATTTAGAGGAAAAATATATTGAAAAAACAACAATTTTACAAAATTTGTCAGATAAATGGCTTGCAATACGAAGAAGCAAAATTACTTCTGGCAATGCTCATAAAGTATATATTAAAGCAAAAACTTTGACTGTCTAATATCCGTCTTTACACAAAAATATAATTTATTTGATTCTAAACTTTTTGAAAAAGCTGTACAACATGGTAAAGAGTTTGAACCTATTGCCAGAGATATTTATAAAGACATTATGAAACACAAGCTTAATCGTTCTTTAAAATGCAGAGAAACAGGGATTGTTATACAACCTAAATTATCATGGCTTGCAGCCTTCTCTGATGGTTTGTTAATTAATGGAGAGTTGAATAATAAATTTGGGTTAATAGAAATAAAATGTCCTTGGTCAAAGAGAATCTATAAACCCAAAGTATTAGTACTCGACAAATCTTTTACTGTGAAAATAAAAAATGACAAATCAGTATTGCGAAAAAAACATGAAAATGGATATTATACTCAAACACAAATGGCTCTAGGCATATCACAAGTAACATTTTGTGATTTCATTGTTCATACATTCAAAGGATACATTATTATTCGAATTTCTTTTGATATAATGTACTTTAAAGACATTGTAAATTAACAAAACTTATTTTATATCAAATATCTTTTACCTGCTATGGTTGAACTTGAGACTAATGAAATTGAACAATAAATTATATGACAAATAAAATATTATTATTTAAAAGCAGTTTTTTTATTACATTATTAAAAAATAAATTCTATTAGTTTCAAAAAATATTATGTTTTTTCTGTATCTATTATTAATAGTGATTGAAACTTTGCAAAGAGATAAATAATAGTCCGAATTTGATTTACAGAACCATGAAAAGATAAAGATATTTTATTACGAATTATTTTATTTATTTTATAGCAAGTTTCACTTTCTAAAGCTTCTGTTGATGTATTCCAAATAAGTCGTTTTTTTAAAGCTTTTCTTTCTTTTTTAATGTTTTTTTTTTAAATACAAAAATAGACGGGATAGCATCTTTATGAAGTATTTTTTTAGCCAGAACAAGGTTTAAAGATTATATCATTTATATTAAAATGAAACTCACATACTTAGGTATACTTCTTTCAACATTAAAATTGTCTATTCCTCCTTGTCGTTGAATGTTATTTAATACACTAATCCAATTTTTTAACATATTTTTATGTTT